ATAGGTCTAAAGGTCTTAGGACCTAAGTTTATAGCTTAAACTTATAGCTTAAACTTATTACTTACTGGGCTGTGAGCTCATAAAATTCCCCCCCCATTCAGATCAGTAGATCGAGGTAGCAGCCTCTCGGTTTAGGAGCTTTTGGCACGGGACTCACATGCTCGTTGTATGTACAAGCTAAGGCCTCGTGTTTTCGATAAGAAGGCAAATCAATGTGTTACCAAAACAATGACTCAGCTTTTGTTTTTTTGAAAAGCTTTGAAGAAGAATTTGCCTCATATAATTTTTGTGTAAATTAGCTTTATGTCTAAAACCTTTAAATTAATTATAAATGAACTTAGCTTAGTTTATCTTATAACTTTAAATATTTTGGCATTTTCCAATATATACATGATATTCTTTTATAAAATTGATTTTCTGAATACAGGTTCTCTTTTGAATAAATATTTTATATCATAAGTGTTTTTACTTCCGCTGCAATTCTTTACTATAAATTTTGTTTTCGAACTCTTCTAGGACTAAGAGTTCCTAGGGAGGTGTGTTATATTTTTGGTATCAAAGCCAAGGTTTTGCTAATATATTGATCTGCCATATGAGTTAGAGTCTAGTGTCATAGGATTAGATTTTGCCTAACTATTAGTTTTGCACTTTTTATTTGTATCAGTACCGAAGAAGAAAGATGAGTCAAGGAGACAATACTTCTACTCCTCCTCCTGCTGATGACGTGAATGCCTGAATGGACATAATGCAAAAGGCCATTACGGATATGAGTTCCATCTTTAGGGATTATCTTCAACATCAGAACAACAATAATGCCACACAAAACACTGGTGGCAATTCACAACAAACAGTGGACTCTAAAGAAGGAAATGAGCAGTTGACATTGGTGAAGCAATTTCAGAACATGAACCCGCCTAGCTTCAAGGGAGTTCTTGATCCCGATGTGGCTAAGTCTTGGGTTAAGAAATTAGAAAAAAATGTTCAAGCTCCTGAAATGTACTGATGGGCAAAAAGTGGAGCTAGCAGTGTTCACATTAGAAGGTAAAGCTGATGATTGGTAGACAGCTGTTCAGGCCTTCTATTGAAAATATTTTTCTACAGCTATGTTGGAAAGAAAGGAACTAGAGTTCATGAATTTGAAACAAGATGACATGACAGTTGATGAGTATCAAGCTAAATTCAGTTCTCTTATGAAGTTTGCTCCTCACCTTGTTAATGATGAAGTTAGGAAGGTAAGGAAGTTTCAAAGAGGGTTGAAAGCTTCCATTAGGAACAAGGTGGTTCCTCAAATGCTAAAGACTTATGATGAGGTCTTGGCCACGGCTCAAATAATTGAGCAAGATATGGAGGAGCAAAGAATGGAGACTCATGACTCAAAAGGCAAGGGAAAGGCTATCAACACCTAACCTTTCAACAAGAAGGGTGAACAAAGGGGAAAAAGGAAGATCCCCGAAAGCAACAGACCAAGTTTTGATTTTTGTAAGAGGTGCGGTAAGAACCATGGGGGAAAAGAATGTTATTGGCAGACTGGGGCATGTTTCAAATGTGGGAAGATTGACCACTTGATCAAGGATTGCCCGGTTCTCAAGGGAGCAAGTCAGCAGCCAAAGGATCAAGAAAATAAGAAGCCCAAGGTTCAAGGAAAAGTTTTTGCCATCACAAAACAACAAGCTCAAAACACTCCTATAGTTATAAAAGGTAAAATACCTATCTCTTTTAGGAATGCCTATGTGTTTATTGACTCTGGATCTACCCACTCATTTGTGTCACCTAAGTATGTGTCATCTTTGCATGTGGAGCCTGAGACCCTTGATTGTGTGCTTGTGGTGAATACTCCTTCTAAGGAGGTTTTAACATCAAAAACCATTTATAGATCTTGTA